AAAACAATCAGCATCAATAAAACAATACGAAGAAAACGTAAGACAAACAAAAAATTAAAAAAATTAAAATGAACAGTAAAAGGCAAACACATAAGAGAACGATGCAGGTGACTTAACTCGGCCAAAGGCCAATGTGAACAAGTGAGTCTTAAGGCGAGTTTTAAAAGTGGAAATGTTCGTCGCAGACCGCACAGAAAACGACAAAGCGTTCCACAGTCTGGGAGCCGCTACAATGTTACCGTTTACTTATAACCGTATACTTTTGCATTCAATTCCCCACAAATTAAAGAAAGACCACCAAACTCAGCTCGGTCATAGTGGTTGGAGTTTATTAGATGCCTTTAAGACAAAAATATTTGGCATTTGTAACCAAGATCAAAACATAAAATATGTCCCATACAATAATAAAAAAATGAATCATTAAATCATTAGGAACAAGGTAAACTAGCTGCAACAATACGCTATGGAACACTTTCAATTGACCGCAGCAAACGGCTGGCGTCCTTAATCCAGAGCCTCCGTAAAACAAACCAAAATAAAACATTTAGAAACACTTTCATTGGTAAAATATTAAAATTACAAAGATGAGGAAGACAACAAGATGTAAGGAAGGAGAATGTTAATCATGCTAGGCAAATAACACTTACCAACGTTACTTGGAGGGACGAGGCAATGAGAAACTCCTCCCATGTTGAACTGCTCAACTGAGATTACGCGTCTGACGTCACGTTCAGGAGCAGTCGGTCACGATTGACACGCAAATGACTTTTGGGCAATGGACACTTTGAATAATACAAATATTTATAATCTTTACATTCCGTCCACTGAAACGACAGCGAAGGCGGCGCGTGCGATAGGGAGGGTGTGCTGTGCAGAGCAAGGTTGGTGGTTCGAATCCTGGCTGCTCCCTGTGCCAAATTGAAGTGTCCCTGAGCAAGACACCTAACCCCCAATTACGCATGTATAGTAATGTCCTGTAAGTCAAAGTCATCATCGTATTTCATGAGATACTATCTCATTATGATGACTTACCGGACCTGTTTTTCAGTGGCTGACATGGGCTTCCATACAATAACCTACAACAGATTGTGATTTACTGTATGTGTATTTTCACCACTTCATAAAATATATGCAACATGCAGTTGAATTACGGTAGTCTGCTATTATTGTAAATTGACAGCTTTAACTGTTTATTCTTGACATTGGCCGTTAATTCACAAGCAGGGGATGGAAATCAGTTATTATGACATACTGTAAGTTACTGTTAGAAATGCACCGTAAATTTACAGCAACTTTTTACAGTGTAGTCTTCTTCAGTGATCACATTATGAAATAAAAGAGTGTTCACTGTTGACAGAATGCTGAGAAGTGTGTGTACCTTGCATGCTGTGTGTATTTAATCTGTGCATTCACCTGTATGTGATACGTTTGTATTAATGAGGATTTTTTTTTTAAATTATAGATGAATATAAATAGTTAGAACGTTCTGTCACAACGATGTTGTTACGTGTCGTCGCGCTTTTATTGTCAGTGGTTAGTGGTTAGTATAGTGACGCGCTCAACGAGCATCGCGTGCTGCCGTGAGTCCCCGCCCCCCTTCGAGGCCTTTCGATAGGCCTGATGAGTCATAGGACGCATCACTCCTGAGGCCAAAACCCGTCGGCACTCACACCACGTCGTTCATTCGTGAGAGACACTGCTGGTATAGAGCAATATTTCAATAATAAATCCAATCTTTAAGATGGTTGTCACCTTTCGTTCATGTTTGCGGTGTGTGACGCAGGCGGTTCAACAAACATCGTTGCTGCATTAAAATCATTTTTAGTAATTCCTGCTCTTTTTGGAGATGTTTCACTCAGTCGCTGCATATATTTATTTCAATAGTAAATAACAAGACAGAATAAAGATCTCAGTCACTTCAGCATAAAGCTTATAAAACACTTTCGGATCGGTGCTTGATACCAAATTGTTATTATCAAAAAAGTCACAATTAAACATGAATATGCTGATTTTATAATGCGAATCATTGTATTCTGTTATACAAATGTGGTCACAAGGGCTGCAGCTGAAATACACGTCAAAGCAGTTCAATCAAAGGGGTTTGGGAAACGGTGCCGTGATATAAAGGATCCACACACACGATAAGGGTTTCCTGCACTTTGAAATGTCCCGCAGACGAGGATGCAAATTTGCGACCATATACCGCCCGATCGTGTCCGCCAGCCGCCGCTTTGAAACACATGTGGGAAAAGTCTGCGTGGCCGCACGCGACATTCAATTGTTAGAATGTTGCCTCAACATGGACGAAAGGCTATAGGTGTAATACACTGGGTTTTTCATGTAGAGGGATGTGTTGTGATTTGTTCTAATTAGTCACGTAAGCGTAAATTGTTGAGTTCCGGAGCGGGAGAGTTGCGAGCAGGCTGATATATTCTGGCAGTCCTGAATAAATAGGTTCCGTGAAACCCACCACGGTTTTCGGCGCTTATTTACATCCCGCCGTGCGTCGTGTTTCGTGAACTCAATCGCGGAGGTGAATACGACCGAAGCCAAAACAGGCCGCCAAACAGCCAGCCAATCAGCGATTGTGCGTTGGCACAATCGCTGATTGG